TACACAAATACAAACACAGTTCTGTCTAGCCCTCATGCTATCCATACTTTATTCTTACTGATAATACTCAGAAGTACCTGGAGTAATGTCTTTCTAAAGAACATCAGAAAAAATATTTTAATAAATGCCATGCAACATGGCAAATCCTCATTTCTTATCATTTATCACAATAGAGGTTTTTTAAATCTTTATTAAATATTATATCATGTTGTCTTTGTCATGTGAATAATGAAGTAAAAAATAGACTGATGTCCAAAGTTCCTTATATGACTGATAAGTTCCATCAGAAAAAGTCAAACAATGTATTTGTACCAACATTTGGCTGATGTCTAAGACTCATTTCCTTCATTCATTTCATGTCTTCACCATTTTTTCACTCTACAGCAGAATAAAAAGTACTTCCTCTTGACATTTTCACTTGGCCAATTTCATTTAAGCTGTCCCCAGAGCATTTGTCCAGGGCCAACATACCTATGATTAGTAACACAGAAAGTGGAAAATGTATCAATAGCTTCCTCTATTTAATAAAAGGGTATGATGTGTCCATTTCCAATGTAGTTTTTGATATATTTTAAGAGAGAACACTGAAAAGCAAAATGTAATTATATTTTATCTATATGCCTAAAATGAGGTCTTCTCTGGGTATTTTAAAATTGCAAATAATGGGAAAATTATTGGATTTTTTTAAAGATCTATGCACATGACAAATTGTTAATGTACATATTTCCCATTTGGGAAATGTACTTAAAATCATTTAAGTACAATAAAATGTTTTGTTGTGGTGTAGAAAAATAAACAATTATAGAAATTAATTATTCAGTTTTTCTAAATGGCTCAAGACCCATTTAAAATTATTTTTCCCAAATTTTAATAAAGAGATGTGACACATAAAGCACTTAAGATAATCAATAGTATTTTTCCCCTGGGTGCACTAAGACAAATAATTTTCCTTTTCTACACATAAACTTTTTGAGTGACAGACATTAGGATATAGTGTCATTTAAATGACAATAAAAATAGAATTTTTCTGTGGTGACTCTTTTTCATGTTTGTTTTTTGTTTCTCATTTAATATTTGAAAATTGGCTTTAAAGGGGCTTCTGTCACCTCTCTTTGGACAAAAGAATTTTGAGGCCTCTTATTTATGTACTGATGCTTATCATTTAATGACCAAGTTAAATTCCTGAACCTAGGTCCTTAAATGAATTGGTCTCTGAATAAGGAATTATATATAGGATGTACATTGCAATATTCATAACAAAGAAATGGTCAAAGGAAACTCCAAGGATAATTTTGCCTTTATTTTCATAACTCTTACATGTGGTACTGTAATGTATCACAAAAACATAAAACTAAACTACTGAACTATAGAATACAACCAGCAAAAACTAGAGTACTCTATAAACAAGGTATACTATGAAAAAAAAAAAACATTGAGGCTCTATAAACAACATATACAGAACTGTACCCAAAAAGAGACAAGTTCTATGTCTGAGTAGTGGGTCTAAGTCCGAACAGTCATTACACAGGTGGTTAACTGAGGTGTATCTGTGCCTAAATTACCAAAAATGCCCACATGTAAGAGCCATTTTCTACATGGTTTTTTGAACATTTATCAAAATTTGCACTACGAACATTAGATATTTAAGTATTACAAGTTCCTATAAGTTAATACACTTAAAACGCAGAAAGTAGAAATTAATTTCAAAGTACTGTCAAAACAATAGTGGTGATTATTTCTTATTTCCTTATGCCAAAAAAAACATTAAACAGACCTGCAATAAGGCCAAAAGGCATTTAGAGAATTACTGCTGTTATTCTGTGACAAATCTCTACTAAAAAGGGGAAACCATATATTTTTCTACAATCTGATAGTATTAGTCATAATATATGTAACTTAATTATTTTTGCTTTACTTATTTCTTGTCTGTTTCTTAGGTTAACAAGAAATTAAGAAATTGAGCTTATTCTATATTGCATCTGTTGGTTAAATTGTTGATCTCATCAAATAACCATTCTTTGATTGAATTATTAGTTTATTATAAAAATATATTTTATTTAAAAGTTTTATATCCTTAATATTGATTTCACACTGTTTAATTGTGCTGTATTTTATGAATCACAAACACTTCTAACCATAGTTTCTTAATCTGTAAAATGTGAATACTAATCTACATTTACTACGTTGATATCTATTTATCAGGTATTTAGCACTTTGAGGTTTACACAATCCATTCATATTATTTAAACCAAAGCATGCCCAGCATTAGGGATTCATAAATAATGATTTATATCATTAATCTTCACAATTACTGAGAAAAACTAAAGTTGTCATCCTCCCTTACTTAAAAGTAAGAAAAAATAAATGCAAAAATAATTAATATGCTTATCCTTAATAGAATGAAGAACTAGAATTCATGTATCCTGCTCCTAACTCCAAATACTCATATATTGGATCCATCCATATTCTATAACTTCTGGGGAAGTAGCAATGAACAAATGGCCTTGTTCTCATGAGGCTTATGCTTTCATAGAAAGGAAGTAATCTAATATGCTATCTGGTAGAAAATAAAAGTAAAGCAATCTAAAGGCTAAAAATTTCTATGGATTAGAATAATAAATAATTCTCTGTAGGGCAATTGATGAAGTCATATTTGAGCAGAGCTCTGAAGGAAGTAAGGGACCAAAGCAAGGTATTGAAATCTTATTTATTCCAAGCATGATTGGTTTGTTCTAAAGACAGCATGGAGAGGAGCGGGAGAAGGGCAAGGTAGAAGATGAGATCAGAGCAGAAAGGTTGGAGATGACATCCTGCAGTGTCCCCTAATTCCTGTTTCTTGCACTGTTTTCCTGCTTCTCAGAGAATCAGTACAGTTTTATTTTGTATTACAGGGACTATTTTCTAATATTCCCCTCTTTCATCTTACACTTATCTAGTGGTCTCTTTCAGTGCTGCAATAATAATATAGAAGGTGAAATTTGTAATATTCCTCCAATTATTTAACTTGCCCATTATCACAGTGAAATTGTTGTCAATAACATTTATTTTTTGAGATGAACAAGTGCCAACTGGTGCATTACTGCAAAAATTAATGAGGGGACTCACTAACATATTTCCCTGTTCAAAAGAGATTCAAATAGCCATATATATCTCGAACCTATAAGAAGACTAAAATAAATTTGCATAATAGACACAAAATTGATGTGTTCCACAGCAGAAGTCAAAAATCCATGAATATCCTCTAGATAGAATTTATGTGTATTTATTAATTGAAATCTTATGTTTTCTAAAATTCAATGAGTTATAATAGAGCCAAGAAAATGAAAGGTTCAGAGACTCCATAGAATCAGATTACCCAGAGGAATATTTTGGACATATTTTAGTTTTCCACTGATAGTCTATTTCAAAGCTCTGTCCATTTTGTAGATTTTGTTAAAAAAATCAATGACAAAACAACTCTAAACATACTTCTTCCTTTTTTATTGGTATATGTTTGTGATGTATAATTCCATTCATCTTGAGAAATTAAAATCTTAATTGTCGGGGATTTAGCTCAAGGGTTCGGTGGCCTGCCTTGCAAGTGCAAGGGCCCAAGTTCAATCCCTGGTACCAAAAATAAAAATAAAAATAAATACATAAAAGTAAAGTCTTAATCATTTTAACTTTTCTCCCCCCCCACACCTCTTCCCCTTTCCCCAGATCCCCTTCTAATCTCCACATAAGGAAATGGAGATGCTGAAGGACCAGCTGGTTCAACCAGAGACATAACATCACAGATTTGCAATTCTAATCTCTTGTACCTTGCAAATTTCATTCTGCCACCTACTACTTAGAATAAAAACTGTATTTTTTTTTAAGAGTAGGAAAAATTTACTGGGAGGAAGAAAGCTTCTGTATAAGAAAGACAGAAGGGGGACCGGAAAGTGGATTGCCTGCTCAGCCGACTTTTCAAAGATGTTTTATACAGCACGGCCATGTAGTGAGGCAGTTACAAAGTGGGACAAAACTATAAGACCCAATGGAAATTTAAAAGGTGGGCGTGAGGTGGGACAAAACCCTGATGAACCAATAATATTACAACTGTAGCCACCCAGGTAATATTGATTAAATGGGGATCCAATGGGGAAACATGTCACATAGAAAGCATACGAAGAACTGAGAAAGGATTTTCAGTGGAAAGGGGTGGGTCAGGGATCTTTCTTGGAAGATCTTTGCCCCCCACCCAGGTGATTAATACCTATTTAGAATAGCAATTACTGTTATTTATCCCCAGGGAAACCACAAGGGTGTAGTGTAGTAGTCTTTCTCCTTTTACAATTCTGGCCTTCAGTGAATGTGTTGATTGTTCTCCATATTGTTGACTCCACCTGGAATGGCTCTGAATAACTGCCTATAAGATATCTAATTAACTTATCTATCTACATTATTTCCCCCTCTGAAGAAGTTCCCCAACAGCTGTGAGGGGGCAAAAAGTGAAGACTGTTCTGGCTACTTCTGACTGAAGAGGGTCATAGTTGTGGTCAACAGTCAGAGGGTTTATCTAACGTCCCTCTATAGGTGCCAGGCAAGTAGCTTTGAGTCTGGAGAAGACAAACGCTAAGTTACACTTAAGAATACATTGACCAAATACTAAGGTTAGCAGAACTGCTATGAATATAGCCAGCAATGATTTCCACTGGAAGAAATTAGGAACAGCTTCCCACAGAGGATAAGAATGTCCAGGGGACTTCAGAATCCCACATAGAAGCTGTATAGTTTAGTAGTTATGGGCTATTTACAAGGTCGATCTGGTGGATACCAGTAAAAGAAATCTAGCACATTTGTCATTGGTTCAGTTTGTATGACTGCTTGGAGTTTGGCATCCTCTAGGCAAGAATAAACAAAACTTTTAAGAAATTAGAGCATGAAAAATCTAAGCATGAGCACACTAGAATGGAAGGGAAGGTTGGAGAGGAGTTCACACTTAGACACTGATATAGTGAGTGATTATAACCTATTACCTCTTAGACTCTTTTATTGATGGAGGTTATCTGTAAGTATGATTCTTTGTCATAAGTCACTCTAGTTTTAGCTGTAAGAAAAAAAGAGAAAATTTGAAGAGCATATCTTACTAAGACATTTAAAACTATATCTGAGCTCATAGATTTTACCATAGTTTTTTTCCTAATGATCCATAACCATGGTTAGCTACCTGTGTGGCTGGAAACTGACAGAAGGGGCCAGCAATTCGAGCCCCTTTTCATATCTAGCTTTTTTACTGTGGTATTATTTTTGTGTCTCTTTTGTATTTTTTTCTTTTCTGCTGGGTGTGTAAAATCAAGTTAAAGTGAAACCTATGTCAATCAATATGAGCCTCTTGCTGTCTATCAAGGTCACTTAAGTTTCTTCAGGCATTATTTTGGAACCATGCATAGAGCCTCTCAGTTCCTCTGTCCGTGTCAGCTGTCAGGATGGGTCATGGCCTTGCTTGACCATGTTTATGTCAGTGAAAGCATGGGAGACTTTTCCCTCCTTTGGCACATGGTAAATTTGTCCTCTAGTGTCTGGCAATCTCCCTGCTGAGGAGATTGGGTGACTTACCAAAGATGTAAAAATCCCATAGAAAACGTTCCCTTGTGTCATGGATCTTGTAGACCTTGAGGGACCAGGGCCAAAATATTAGATGTCCTCATGGCCAAGTTAACTTTCTAGTTTTGGTCTTCAAACTTTAGTTGTTGAATACCCAGAAGTGATCAGTGACAGTAGTAGTTCAGTAAGAGCAGTGAGCTTAACTATTATAATTTTGTCTGGACATTACGCACTTTGAAGTATAAAGCACAGTTACAGGAGCTGTTATTTTACCAACCATGGTCAATTAGTTGAATCCTTGCAGAATATTATCAGATAACAGTTATACATTATATAGAGAAATTCAAGATCAAGAACCACACATAGTATTTTTGCATGACATCCATGATGACCTTGTCATGACATTAAATGTCCATCTTTATATGGAAGTCTTTTAGTCAAACACTCTATTTGATTAGAAGACATTACTTGACATATAGAAAGCTATTATTTGTTATAGTTTAATGGTATGTCATCTAAAGAGAACATACCTATCAGTCTATAAATGTACCCTAGAAGTTCACACTGCCTAGCCTCTAATTTTAGTGTGTGACATTGAGCATCTCTAAGTGTGGAGACACATATAACATATACATCATATAATTTCTTGAGAAAAAGTATTATTTGACTGGTTATCTCATGCTTGCTGGACATGTACCTCTTGTCACAAGTCGCTGGAGAACAAGAAAAAGGCAGGCACCTGAGTCAAAAAAGATCATTACCAAAACAATATCTTAGAAGACCTGTACACCTGGAATGTATTAATGGTATTTAGTAAACCACAAAATAACAATGAATATTAAAAGTCCAAATAAAGCTCAAGCTAGTTCAACATTAAAAAAAAACAAAAAAACAATACTACCATATAGCACTCTATAAGGCCATAGTCAGAGTTCCAAAATTCACAACCTCTCAGCAAAGGTATTTTTCTCCCCTACACACATAAATGATAAAGACCATGACTGGGGGGGGGGCGGGTCAGGTAGCTTTTAGTCTATCAGAGATTTGTCTTTTACATTTGTCTAGAGGTATGTCTTACTAGTAAAGAGAGCAGTCCAAACCTGCAGCTCAACTCTTAATGGAGGCTGAAGAAAGGGCTCTGGTGGCATCATTTCAGATCACTATGAGACAGAGGATATCTGATGATCACTAACAGAGTTCCCCTTTCACCTCACTGAGGAGCCCAGATAGGGACTAGATGTGGAGATTTTCTGCTGATTACCCAGACTTAGGAGCTAGGACATTTGGGTATCCACCAGAGAGTAGTCCTGGCCATGACCCCTCAATTGTCACCTCAGTTTTGCTAGTTCCACACAGAGATCTATCTCTGAAGGGAACCCAATTATCTATCTGGTCAACATTCTACCTGTCACCGGCATAGATGGGAATTAGGATTCACCAGAGGGCAACTGAAAAAAATCTATCCTCTGTTTGAGAGTGGCAGATTCCCTAAAGGCAATTACTGGCTCACAGAGTGACCACTGTTTGGCATTCTAAAAGGACATCTTTGAAAAGGTAAAAGCCTGAACTTTTATAAGACACATTTTACAACATTTTTAAGCAACTAAATCCAAATGCCTAAGTGCAACATATATAAAATAAGAATAAAATGTAGTTTTAACTAAAGAATATGCATAAGAAAAATAAGAAATTTACAAACATTTAAAACAGACAACTTAGCCGAGGATTTAGCTCAGTGGTGCCACCGCCTGCCTCGCAAGTGCAAGGACCCAAGTTCGACCCCCGGTACCAAAAACAAAAACAAAAAACCAAAATAAAATAGACAACTTAAAATTAAGGAACTTTTGAAATAAAAGCTGAAACAAAGGCCAGAATTTATTAAACAAAAACCAAAATCTGTAAAACAAATGTTCAGAGTTTATGAAAAGAATGTTATAATCTATGAAGTAAAATGACCAAAGTTAAAACCTTGGAAATAAGACTCTTACCTCCAACCAGTAATCTTGGTGAAAGACCTCCAAAATGATACAGGAGGAAGAGATGTAACTCCCAAACCTGCTAGCTATCTGAAACACGAGTTTGTGTTCTCTAAAATCCAGGAATGAATCTATTAACAATGGAGGTTAAGAGTAGAAAAAATTTAGTGAGAAAAATAGCTTCTGTCTAAAAAGACAGAAAGGGAACCGTAAAATGGGTTACTCTTAAAAGCTGTATTTAAAATCTTCTGTGACAATAAAAATGCTGGGCTCAGATAGCTGTCACCTCCTTAAATCACAAAATGCAGTTAAATAAAAAGTATGTGAATACCTATAAATAAAGATGCTGAGAATGTAAGGATATGCTCAGAAGAGAAACAGAACTCTACTAGGACCAGGTTTTTAATAAAAAACATTCTAACAAAAACCTATATTATATAAATTTTGTGTGGTTCTTTTTCAATTTTACTTTAGGACATTTGACTTAATTTTAGAGAAAAAGATATGAACTTTGTTAAAAAAATAAAATCGTTTTATATATTGTTTATTTCAAGTACAACACCTGTAATAGTACACTGTATAACACATCTCCAGTAACCTTGATCATGCAATATCAACATACTTTTTGATTTACCATTAATAGGTATGAACCACATCATAGCAAAGCAACAAAGAATCACTTCCTCATTCCTAACACCTTAAGTTAGAAAAGTTGAGTGAGCAAGAACTTCCACAAATATCAAATATTTTATCCATAGCTAGAAAACATTCAAATTTTTGTCTATAGCTGAAATAGTCTACATGCTGGCCAGCTATCACACTGAATTAAATTTGCAAGGGTCACATCAGGAGTAAAGAATACTGTCCAAATAAGTAATGCAGTAGGAATACTAATTCACTCAAAGGGGTTTCAGTTTTCCCTTCAGCTTTATCTTTTCTTAATGATATTGTCAGAATAAAATATCAAGCTAAGCATATCTCACTTAAAACCCTTGTTTAAGCCTAATTTTAATGTCTCATAAAATCACTACTATAAAAAATAAGTATCTACATTGAGGTTTCAACCATATGTTATCATTCAAATAAAAGAGAATATTATTTGTATACAGGAAAATATTGTATCCCTAGGAAATGTCTTTGCCATTTACTCACCACAATTAATTCTCAGAATGTGGTAATTTTAGTGTACTTACTAGCCACAGGGCAAGAACTACTGATTTGAATATTATAATTAGCAACTGTAAAAATCCTTATCAAAATTCAACACCATACTCTGATAATTCCTTTAATCAAGTTTCCTTTTACGATACCTTCTTTCTGGCCACCTACCACTGATTACAGCTGGCTCTTGATGTTCTCAGCTCTGGTTCTATGGTCAAAGGCTGGTCGTAATTTTCTAATAAGGAGAGTCACCTACATCCTGAAATTGTCAACATTTTTAAAAGATTATTGACATTCTAAAACGTTTTCTTACTGCTTGATTACTGAAACAGAGAATCAGTGAGAAAGAACTTTGGGCATTGGAACTGTGCAAACTTCATTTAAAATTTTGGATTCTAATAATTGTATGAAATAGTGCAAATTATTTAATCTCACTGAGCCCCACCTTCCTCAATGGTAACAGGTTAATAATGTACTCTACTCATAGCAATATTGTTGGCTCAAATGAGACAGCATACTTACAGAGGTGGGTAGTTGGTAAGTACAATATATATCAAATCTTTCTGATATAGAAATGTATAATATAATAAATTGTACATATATATATATATATACTTTTTCATTGAGTGCATGTCTTCTATGAACATTGTACAAATAATCTGAAATGAAACATCCCAAGTAAATCTGATGTAAAAGAGTAAGTTTAGATTTTAAAAAGTAACTACATTCTCCAGCTATTTGAGATGAAGTATTACACACTTTAGATAATTTGGTTAAGTTTGGTTCCATATGTTCAACCTATGTTATTCATGATACTGCTTCCTATCCATTCTATATATCCATAAAAATATCTCTAAAACTTAGTTTGACTCAATAAATACACATTGAGAATCAAGTTGCATAAGAATACTAAGTACTAAAGAATGAAGAAAAATTAGGGAAACATCTGCTAAAAGATAAGTAACACTCCTTTGAATTTTTTTGTACTTTCATACTAGTTTTTTACAGCAAAGATATTATAAAATGTATGTTTCACTTTACTCAATTGGAAAAATGACACTTGAGGTAACTTATGTTTTTATATTCTTATTTTTGTCTGTAAATATGTTTATTTTCCCTAATTTTCAATTATTTTTCTAATTAAAATGTAATTATTTTACCTTTGCACTTGTTAAATATTAAAGCATCACAATCAAATATATTGACTGGAGGTGATGTTTTTGGAATGAAAAGAATGTTTCTCAATGCAATTATGTAAGTTTTATCATACAACTAATAGAGAATCATTACAAATATAAGGAGAACATTAAACCTGGGCAATATCTAGGGCCATATCATGTTTATTCCAGCAATAAATTCAATTTAAGTATGCTCAAGTATTTTCTCTCCAAATGTGATGGGAAATTTTTTCCCTAAATGGTTATAATCATAACTGCTAGCCGGGCGTGGTGGTGCACTCCTGTAATCCCAGCACTTGGGAGGCTGAGGCAGGAGGATCGCTGTGAGTTTGAGACCAGCCTGGGTTCCTGAGTTCCAGGTCAGTCTCAACTACATAGTGAGACCTTGTCTCAAAAACCAAAAAAAAAAAAATAATAATAATAATAACTGCTATATTCAAAATATTTCTTAAAATTTACTTTGTGATTCCCAAACATTGGAAAAATGGAATGGAAAAGATATACTGAGAATTTTCTGAATCAGAATATATGCAAGATAAAAACTGAATACTTTCTAAATGTAAACTATAAATTTGAAATTTGATTTGCATTGCCATACAGAATGATAAAAGATATGCTAGATTTCTCTTAGCTGTCAGGATTCATTTCCAGTAATACAAAATTCTACTACAAAGTTAAGGTAAACTTGCCAGAATGGACTTGTATTTAAAGGCCATGCTTGCACAACTGCTAAATGTACCACACAAATACACATATATGTCACGCAAAATTGTGAGTCAGAGCTTGTGTATTTGAAGAATTTGTGTGTGTGTGTGTGAGTGTGTGTGTGCACGCTTGCCTAGCAGCTGATATAATAAAAGACAAAAGTGCTAGGAAAAATGCCTTCACTCATAAGCTTTGGGTAAAGAAAGTGACTATTTCATTATACTTTCAATTGTCATTTCAAAGCCCTGTCTTGAGTGTCTTAAGGCTCTGCTAGGTCTGTGATATAACTAGATGGAGATCATTCTGCTGTGACCAAGTTACATCTCAATACAGAACCCTCATTTTTCATGTCTCTTGCTAAAAAACAAACAGTGAGCTCCAGAGAAAGACACGCAGTTAGCTGATATGAACCTAGAGTAGAACAGTGGCATTTTCAGAAATGAAATCAACATTTCTCAAAGGATTCACATCTTAAATTTTTATCTGCAGGGAGCTTTCTAAAAAAATCTTACTCTTTGAGATAGAACCATGTTTTATCTCCCAAGGCAATTCAACAATAAGCTGTTTGTGATGCTAGTTTAAATGACAATTTGTGGGGGCAACAATTATTTTCTTCTGAATTTCTTACTTCATAGCTAAATATCTTGCTTTTGACATGAGCGTTTGTGTTTAAAGTTTATATACAAGTAAAATTCCAAAGACAATAATTCATATGTAATCATCATATTTCATATGAATGACACCTGGGATATACAAAAGGTAAGTTAATTGTTGGCTCCTCATATACATTTAAAATTTATCCAGTGGGAAAGCAAGTCCCTTTATGATTTGGTATGCAATAGTTGTACAGTAACCATACACTGCAAAATTCTGTCTTGATTCAATACTTAGATTCCATTCATTTTGTTTTGGAGCTTCTTTTCATCTAGTAGATAACCTGTTCAGACAGAGACAGTGTGGTTTGGCTTGGCTCTTTCTCTCTTTTCTCACTTTTCCATTTTCTCAAATAATTTGCTGTTTAAAAGGGAAAAAAAAATCTCACCAAGGATGAGGAATGCAGAGAAGAGAAGTCAGGACAGGGAAGTCTTTGCTCGCTGACTGGGTCAGGCAGGTATCAGAGCATCCATCAGCCTCACGGAGTTCCACAGAGGTCTCCTTTCTAGTTCTCTCCCTGCGTCTCATGGCCAATTCCCCATCCTCAGCCTGGCTCTCTGGATATTCACAAGCTAGATTTGGTGCGGGAGTCCCTTGATGCTCTCAGTGGGTCTCCCGGGCAACGCTAGGCTCCAGTTTAGATCAGTCTCTATAGTGCTCAGTGGGAGTGTTGTCATTTCTTGGGTATCGCCTCCTGCTTTCACACTTTGTCCAGCCAAATTCAGCTGTAGCTTTCTTAGTTACTCAAGAATTTCAAGGTTTCTCAACTTCAAGACATACACATGAAACCCTCCATGCAGTTCAGTTAAAGAACTCCTTATCTCCTGGTAGAGAGATGTGGTCTGTCAACTAATTTTTTTCTAGGAAGAAATCGTTACTCACAAGCATGGAAATAATCCTCATATGTCTAGTTTGATCATTTTTCCAACTTGTATTCATATTCACTTAAGTATCTAAGAATTTAGTAGTCTTGGTACCTGAGTTGAGCTTTAGTTTTACCTTGTTACATTTACCCATGTAAACTGTATCTGACCTACAGAATTCAATACAGTACCGGACTCATAGCAAATATTTACTTAATGTCAGTTGTCATTATTATCATTAACATGATCATCAATAGAGTTCTTACATTGTAGAGAGAAAGGTAAAACATTCACTGCTCACGTAGTCATGAAAGTTCATGAAGTTTTGTCAAGTCAACAAGTAAAAAGGATCCACATGTTCCTGAGTAGATATCTGAATAAACAAACTGTGGCATATTCCTACAATAGGATATTTTTCAACAACAACAACAAAAAAACTGATGCACAGAAAATAAGATGAATCTCAAAATAATGAAAAAAGAATCAATATTATATGATTCCACTCATACAAAATTCTGTAAAATGCAAACCAATCCACAGTTAGAAAGAGATAGTTCTATGCTCAGGAAAGGAGCTGGCAGAAAGGGAAAAGTAGAAAGTGTACAAAAGGCATGATAAAATGTTTAAGGATGATGAATGTATTTATTAACTTGATTCTGGTGATGGTTTTCTTGGTATATGTGTCTCTATTAGAAAACATAAATTGTATACTTAAAATATGTTCAAGTTATTGCATGCCAATTATATCTCAATAAAGCCATTTTTAAAAGTTTGAGAAATAATCACATGAAAAGTAGAGCACTTACTAAAAGATAGGAAAATTCTATTGTACTTTCTTTGGTGTCTTCACATACCAAAGGGATTCAAATAGTCAAGATTCATATTGTGTAAAAGGCTTGATTCATTTCTTATCCCATTCAGTTGTAAGTATGACTATATTTTTATTGCTAATTTCACTACAATATTCTTAATAGTTTCTATCTGATTTGTGTTGTAAGTAAACATCACTAATATTTTTTATTTACTTTCTAATTTGCCATTTTGATGGAATTTAATGTATATTCTGACAGCTCTTCAGTTGATTCTCTTGGTTTTCAGGGTAATCTATTTGAAAATTTTACCTTCTAATATACTTTATTCAGTATTTTCACTGAAAAGTAGCAAGGAATATTTCAGTCATGGTTGTGCTACCAAAATTTAGTCAAAACTCTTTTATGTTATTAATGTATTCATATTCCTATGAAAACCTATAAAAAGAAAGATGTATTTGTGCCATGTGATAAATGTCCATGCTGCTCTATACTAGTATTTTTAAGACAGTTTCCTCACCATATGTACCTATGTGCTGGATGGAAATTACAATGTAACCATCCCTGTGCATAAAAGCTGAAAATTTTGCAACACAATTCATTTTAAAAGAAACTTTATATATCTTCAGGGTCTCATTTGTTTTTAGTTTATATTCTATGAACAAAGGGTTGGGTTAGAGATTGTTTTAAAGAAATAATAAACTGTAGTTTCAAATTTCTGAAAGCATGTTTATGCATATTATCTAATTTTTCTATAGAATATTCTTGATCTTCAAGTACACAGTAACAAGATTTAAAACCATAAATTTATTAAATGAGAAATCTCTACCTCTGAACATAATGTTCTCTCTGCTTATCTCTGGAAAGGGAAGTGGTGCAGGAAATGTCCTGGACAGGGTCTATCTAATCTTAAATCCACCTCTGGTTACATAACTTTGGGGAAGTTTTCTAACCTTATCAAGTCCTGATTTTTCACCCCTTGGAACAGGGATAATATTTTCCTTTTAACAGTACAGTAAAGAAAGAATGAGATAACAA